ACAGAGAGAACAAGCGCTATGTGGGGAGGGGCCTGCCGCTGTTCCCTCTCTGCTTGCTGTGCTCCACATAGCTCTGCCGTCACTGCCTGGCGTTTGTAATGCACCGATGGGAGCACCCACTGGGGGCAAGTTACCACAAGACCCAGCAAGGTGATTCAAACCAGGACCTGGGATTTCCTACGGCTGGATAATCTGCTCAGATCTAAAACTAACTCCAACCAGGCACGGCGGCACACACCTATAATCCCAGCACTGAGCAGCTAAGGCAGGAGGATTGCCATGAGTTTGAGGCTAGCCTGGGATACACAGTGAATTCACAGCCATCATGAATTACATGGTGAGACCCTGTCTAAAAACAAACAAGCAAAGTAAAAATATTAAGTGACTCCAAATGCAGCCCCAAAGAGTTGTCACCGCTCCACCCAAGACTCTCAGCAGCTGCACAGGCTTGCTTTTCTGTTCTCTCCTGTGATCAGACCTCGTACTGATTCAGGTCTTGCTCACCTCAGGATCTTCCCGCTGTTCCCTGAACCTATCAGATTATAGGGTGCTGTACTGCTACGATAAGAGGCAACAGTGACTACCAAACCAGTGTCTTGCCTGGAAATCCCTCTTTAGTCCCCCTCTTGAGGTCTCTACCTACAATATGACATTGCTCTTGGAGGGAAACCTACTTTTGCTTGGACTACCTCAGGTCTTCCCTTGCCCACCAGGGAGCCCGAGATACACTTTACTCAGGAGCAGCTTCCCATGTGGCTGCCCACTTCAGACACCTGGCTCAGACCTGCTGGTGGACAGGAAGGTGAACATGGGTACCTGCAGGTAATAAGACACTGTGCTAGGAGAGAAACAGAGCAGTCCTTCTACATGCCACCCCGTGCTGCGTGTCCTTCCTGCCGCTCCTAAATACTAACTCTTAGTGGGCTCAGAGTCCTCCTTGTCTGCCAGGCACCTACCAAGACAACTGCTCTGCAGACCATGAGCCCCAACCCCTCCTCCCTGTGGTTCTGTACATAGTACTCTGCGTACTCTGACCAGCTTTTCTTTTTGTTTTTGTGTTTTTGGTACAGGGTCTCACTACGCAGTTCAGACTCATAGTGATCCTCCTGATTTCAGCCTCCCAGCAGCTGGGATTACAGGCATGCACCAGCGCACCCTGACTCCATCGCCGGATCAGTTCGCCCGGGGGGGTAGGGCCGGCGCAGCATGTGGTACCAGGGATCGAACCCCAGGTGCTTAGTCTGCTGAGCTGTCTCACCAGCCTTCGACCAGCCATTCTATCAATGGAATCATGAAGTCCCTAATGTTTCTTTACCAACAGCAGCTGGTCTTCGTCTTATTTATTTATTTATCAGCATCAACAAGGTCAGACTCCAGAGCAAAAAGCACAGAGCCAGGTCCTGCCCCAGGCCTTCTGCCCCATGCCCTCCAGGGGCGCTAAGTGTTTTCTTGACCCGGGGGATGCTGAGGGCACCCAGGTAAGGGGCACTGGTTGTGGGCAAGCAGGGAGCACGCTACTGGGCTCACTGAACCCAACTTATCTTCCAGATGACTGAGTGTGGGGTATCTTTACTGGGTTCCACAAAGAATGCGGAGACACAACGGGCCCATGAGCATACGCTGTGGGTCTAGTCTACAAGAACATTGAACACTCACGCTGTCTTATCTAAAAATGACTCACCGTGGAGTTCCTCAATGGTACCTCAGAACTGCTGGGGTCCTTAATTAACTATTTTACACTTTGTTAGGTTTCCAGTTTTTTTGTTTGCTTTTTTTTTTTTTTTTTACTCAGACTACTTGTCTATTTCAAGGAGATTTCAATCTGTCTGTGGAGGTTTTTCACCTACATCTTCTGTGTTCTTCTACACACTTCCTTAATGCCACATTTTAGCCACTGGCATGTGGTTTATGTGCCCCTTAAATGGCACATAAAACTGAATGACCCGAAGATGGAATGGCCTCCACTCCCTCAGCGTGCTCGTCTCTCCGCAGGCCCATCTGTGCATGCTTCCTAAATGTGACACCCCTTTCCTTATTATTCGGTGAAATATCACCAGGATAAAAATGACCGCGGGGATCAGGAAATCAGGAAAATCTGCACATCCACAAGCGAACGAGTAGAGCCAACCACAGCGGGGCACACAGCCCACCCAGAGCCCTGCCTAGCGGGTGCTGCTGCCTGTCCCGGCACGGCCCGGAGCTCTGCAGGCACCGTGAGGAGCAGGCCGAGGAGCTCCCCGGCCTGGGACTCACCCCCACCTTCCAGCGGGGTGGCAGCCGAATGAGTGAGTGCACGTGTGCATGCTCAGGGATTTGCTGGGGAGGGCACACAAAGGCAGGTGAGGTTCAAGAAGGTGCTGCACTTGAATTGGGACACTCGCCAGGGACATGGTCCTCTCACCTTTGCCCTCATTCATCACACTCACTGCCTTTGGGTCGGCCCAACCTTTGATCTGTCTGTGACACAGTTCACCCTCAGGGCCACCAAGGTGGGGGCAACAAGGGAAGGAGGAAGGAGGATGGGGAGACGGGTGGGCATGGGCAGAGCATGTGCCTAACACAAGCGAGGCCCTGGATTCGCCTTCAGCACCAGAAGAAAGGAAAGGAAGGGAAAAGGAGACCCTCCCTCCCACTGCACGCGCCTCGGCCTGCCCGGCCCTGCCCGGGAGCAGCTCCGACTCCCTGTGCCCCTCAAGCTTCCTGGCCTTTCCCCATCAGCCCCTGAGCCATCTTCCACAGCAACAGCCTCAGATTTCTTGGTTATAAAACAAAAATCACAAGGGCATCGACCTCACAGTCACTCTGAAGAATTAGGGGCAGAAATTCTCATGGGATAATCACATATTCAGTGACTTCGTAGCTGAGTGTTGGAACATTAAACAATGTTTGAGAGCCAACTCATAACCCAGCTACCCCGACTGTTCTGTGGAACAAAAATGTTCCAAAATCTACACAGCCGCCTTGATGTGAACAGAGCACTATGCTGGACAGAGCTGAGCGCATTTGGGGACCTGCACGGCCGCTGTTGCCCACCAGGGGGCGCTTACCTATGAGCAGCCAGTAGTTCCTCAGGTAATTCAGCTTGCTCTTCCCTTTGAGGCGAGGGTCAAACTTGAGGTCCGTGCTGGGTGTGATCACACACTCACCTGTGTCCCCAATGGTGACACCATCGGTTTGGGGGCCTTCCAGCAAAGGGAGTGTGCTGCCCCGGGGCTGTGGAGACAGGCACTGCCATGAGTGGGGCCTTCACAGTGTCTGGCCTGGGCTCGCCCGGGAGACGTGGGACAGCCCGCCAGTTCAGCCCGAAGGTCAGGGTGAGTGGCCAGGCAGGAGGCTGCAGGCACAGAGACAGCAAGCCAGCCAACCAGGAGGTGCTAGAGAAGGCGCAACCCTGGAAGGAGTCAGAGGAGGGGCAGGAAGAAGGGCACTGGAAGTGTGTGGCGCCCCTACACACAGCTCTGAAGCAAGCCAGACAGGGACATGCTGGGAATCAGGGAGATATGCTTGGTGGACTGTGGCCTCCAGAGACTAAGGGTGGCGGAGGGCGCCAAGGACTGTCCTGCAGGCACTGGGACACTGCTGGGAACTTCAGACTGCGCATGAAGGCCACGGCACCAGCTAGGGCTTCCTGGGTTTAGAAAGTGGCTCCAGTCACCTATGTCACTTTTAAAGAAGGAACCAACGTATGCAGAAGCTGCTGCTGAGACCTGCAGCTCTGTGTTTCACATTCTTAACCATGGAATATTCACATACAACTCCAGGTCTTTCTTTGTTGTCATCGTACAGGGTCTCAAGGTGTAGCCCAGGCTGGTGTCGAACCACACGATCCTCGTGCCTCAGCCTCCTGAGTGCTAGGACTACCCGTGTGCACCACCATGGCCCAGCTCAGGTTTTATATACATACGTGTGGTTTTCTGGGACGGGAAATTGCACTCAGGGGCTCACGCTCACCAGGAAGTGGCAGAGCCCCGAGTTACAACCCCCGCCCTCAGGTCATTCTTTACTAAGAAGGAGATGTTGCATCCCTGACCCCACAGTGAACTCACCACAACGGTGACCCCCTCGTGCACCATGGAGGGTGAGGCGTAGAGGCTGGTGGAGTACTTCCCAACATACAGGGTGGGCCTGGGGAGAGGAGACACCAGGTCCCAGTCATTTCATGTCCAGATCCCGCAAGGGCCTTTGGGAGAGACAATCATGGGGAACAGCAGCAGGGCTGTGAGGTAGGGTGCTGCCAGGGAGCACAACCCCAGAACCGAGGGCCTCGGATTCAGTCGCCACCTACAGAAATTCGCACAAGCCGCCCAACAGCAAGCCTGGGTTTGCTCCTGGCCATGCCCACGGACCTAGGGAATGGACTCCACCCCTAACCAGCCAGGAGGCCGAGCACTGAGCACCCACTGCCCAGGCTCGTCGCGGCTCTGGGCCCACGCAGAACGCCCCCAGAACACTACTGTGCTGCCCTGTGCTTTCAGGGACTGGAGGCTCTGGACAGGCCCGAGGAAAGGACGCAAAGACAACGCCAAGCCTGGAGATTCCAGTCCACAGCCAGCGGTCTGTCCATGCTGGAGGGCTCTCGAGGGGATGGGCGGGCAAGCTGCACTGCCAGCATGAGAATGGGGCGGCCGCACCCCCAGACCCTCCGGGCACTGCTGCCAAAAGCCCGTGTTGGGCAGGTCTCCCACTAAGGCTCCCACGCCTCTCTCAACAGCACCTTTCACCTGAGTGGTGGCTTACAACGGAGCAACATTCTCATACAGTGTCTTCCCCGGCCCTCTCTATAAGGTAGAAAACTGGGGCTTGACTTCGTTAAGTGCCTGAAGAGACAGACTATTAGTAGGAGGACCGACTATAAGCCTGCTGAGTGTTGGATATGAATAAGAAAACTTTAGAAAATACATAAAGTAAAAAAGATAAATCTCTTGTATCTCTACAGGAGATATACCCACTTTGTGCAGGAGATAGCCAAGATGGGAGAAACCAAGTATATGTGTTTACTGTAGCATGTCATGGACCGGGGAGATGGCTCAGTAGAATAAGTGCTTCCCTGGCAAGCCCAAGGGCCCGAGTTCAATCCCCGGTTCCAAAAAAAAAGAAAGAAAAAGAAAAAGAATAGATACTGTAGCATGTCTTCAAATTAGTGGAACATAGTTTAGGGGCATAGAAGGGTCTAATGAATTCAAATCATCCACTTGATTAAATGTCTGTAAATACTTATACTTTTAATTCTTACTGTAGCTTATTTAATATCAATTATAAATTATGTGACTTGTAGCTTTCTCCGTTTTCAAGTAAATTTAACAAGGTAGAAAAAAAAGAGAGCTATCCAGATGGTATATAGTTACACTGGCAGTCTCCTTCCTACCCCATAATTTTTATTTGCTAATCAGAAACTCTGAGGCATCAAGGGGCATCGCCGGTTCTCCTGCTTACACTCCGAGCCCCGGAGACATCTGCCTGGCCTCAGCCTCTGCCAGCACAGGGCACACGCTGTGGCAGCAGAGGCAGAACAGGCTGCTACCCTTGGCCACCCGGAGCTCCCCGACTCACGTCAGCTTGCTCTTGGCCTCAGTCTCCTTGGGAAATGGGTACTTCCACTTCGTGATACGGCCCACCTCCCCAGGCATGAAGGTCAGGTAGCGCAGGGTCTCCACAGCAACATTGATGTGCATCACCTTCCTCAGGCCCTCCCGCTGCCAGACATAGAAGGCCACCACGGGGGAGGCATAGTTTTGGATCCACAGGACGTCCCCAGATTCACTGTCCACAGTCACCACCAGCCCATCGCCGTTAGACACAAAGTGGGACATCTCTGTGAGCATCAAACAACAAAGTACGTCAACACTCGCCACATCCTGCAGCCACATCCTCTACCCTCTTAGCAAGCTCCAGGAACTTGGCTAGGGGAAACAAGACTTCCAGAACATTTTCAGAATGGTTTCCCTGGGCTCCAATGAACGTGTTCAGGATCTTCAATATCAACACGTTGAGGGGGAGGGAAGGGAGAGGAAGAAGTAAAAGAATTGGGATGTGTTATGAACACACACCAAGTCCCCATGACGAATGTTAACATTATGTACTGCAAACAGCATTAATAAAAATTAGAACCTAAAAGCCCTTATGACTCAAGAAAGTTGTACTTGAGCTCATGTCTCACAAAGGAGCACTCAGAGATAGACAAAAATATTCTAGGCCCGGACTAGAAAAGGCAGAATGAGACTTTCAGAGGCCAATGCTACGATGACAAAACTGGCTTTCTAGTCATCATGTGAGTAGGGGATGCTGACTGAAGAAGTAATGAGCAACAGCCAGGGAGCCACTTTAGAGGCCTTCCACGAGGTCATCTGGGTCACACGCTGGCTTGTACTTACACTGCCCACAGCTTACACTAAATTTCTGTGACACACAGGACTCAGTAAGGTGTGCCCCCCTCAAACTCACCAGCATTTTACTTCAGTTCCCCCCAAGACCTCTCACCCAGGATCCCGCCATGCTGACTGTGGGAAGTATTTACTGCAAGCCCGTGGAAAGTCCAAAACCTGGTGACGAAGGCTGTCTCCAAAGAAAATTCCACCTTCTGCACTGACTGCTTGCCGCAGGTGGAGGGGGCCCTGCCAGCCCTGGGAGCCCCTCTGAGCACTTACTGTAGTCACCATCATCCTCGGGCAGTGAGGCCGCATAGTCAAAGTAGGTGGCGTTCCAGCGGAGCTCTCGGGTTTTGGTGTCATACATGGTGATGGTGTACTCTGGGGAACACAGACAGCTCATTACCACGAGAGGCCGCGGCACCTCCCGAGGTGTTGGTCTTACCCAGTCACAACAAGCAAATTCTCCTGAAATTGCACGCTTGAAGTCTGGGTATCCATGAGGAACAAGGGGCCACCGAGAACTGCAGGCCCAGACATGAGGGACCCAAGCAGCACGGGGAACAGAGACAAGTCACCCTCCCCCTGTCATTGAACTTGCAGCTCACAGAAGCATAAGCAGAATAACAATGGCCTTAGCCACTAATTTTGTGGGTAGTTTACCAATTTGGGGGCCGGCTTACTATGTTGCAATAGATGGGTGATATTAAACTTAGTACCCAAAAGTGGGACGGTGCTGAAACAGAAACCTAAGAACTGTAGCACTGACTATGTGACCAGCAAGCAGCTAGAAAGGCGACAAGGAGACTGTTGGGGAGATCTGCATGAGCAGAAGAAATTACTACCAGCAGCTGAAACAGGGTGACATGGCCTGAGATCATGAAGTGCTTATGTTCACGTGGAATACGAAAAGTAATGACTGGACAATCTAGCTAAGGAGCTTTTTAGGCAGAAGGCAGAAATGGCCAAGCAGCTCCTCTTAGCTGTGTATGATACCCTGCAAGACAATGAGCTAAGGAAGAGATCATTTAGCTTCCAAACAAAATACAGAGGAAATACAGAGGGTCCAAGACTGACTCTCCAGCTAGAAAAGGTTCTCCACATAGAAAATGGCTTTAAAAGCTAGGGAGATAGCTCAGTGGTCTAAGTGTCTGCCTGGCAAGCAAAAGGACAGGAGTTCGATCCCCAGTACCGTATGCCATGCCAGCCCCCAAACCAGGCTTGGTGGAACATGTTTATAATCCCAGTGCTGGAGAGGCTGAGACAGGAGGATCACTATGAGTCTAAACTGTGTAGTGAAATCCTGTACCAAAAAAGAAAAAAAATAGGCTTTAGAATAGATACAAAATCCATAGCACAGGGAGTAAGCAATGGCCTCAGGTCCGGGGCAAGATCAAGCCCAGGGTGAGACTACCAGACCCGTCTTTGAGACCTCGGAAAGATTAAAGGTAGTACCTCCTAGTCTAGTGATAGCAAACCCTTTAGGGCTTTCAATAGCACACAGCCCACTGTGGCGCATACAGCACAGGTTCACCACAACCATCCTAGGCCCCGTGCTAGATAAAAAGAACCGTAAGAGTACTTTCCCACAGCACTTCCACGTTCCAAAGCCAACTTGTATGGGTAGAGCTTTTATGGAATACACAACAATTCAATATGTGGGAAACCCACAAAGACTTTAAAGGAGCAATATCAATCTGGAACACAATGATCAGAGAGAGTCAAAACGGATTTTTTAAAAAAGACTAAATCTCCTACTTCAAAAACAGAACAGAGAGAAACCTACAAAACTCGTCATTCCTTATGGAAAGAAAGGATTTCTCAGAGGACAAAACCAAGAGCCACTGAAAACAATGTATAAAGGAACAAATCTGAAGGATCTGTTCAAAACTGAGCCCTAATCAAGGAGTTATCCCGCTCCCAGAGCAGGGGAACCTACTCACAAAAATGTGTGCTTGCTCAGGATAAATCCTGAGGGCGTTTCACTGACCTTCTCAAACCAAAAAGCTACAACTCTTGTTGCATAGGTTCTGCTTTACCTTGGTCTTAACCATCCAGTAGAAAAGTATGAAGATGAAATATAGGAAGTAAAGCCATGTTGTTATGTTGAGCTGTGGGGGACTCACGTCAATAATTTCTGACATTGCCAATTAAACAGAAGACCCAATGCTATTATGGGCTTCTGTACTCTTTTAGAATATTTTGCTGAGTTTACACACGTATAATATTCAACAACGGAACTTAAAAAAAAATTGGGGTATAACCATGAATGTCCATTTTGTATCTGTGTATTCAAAGTGGTTGGGATAGATATATAGTTGCATTCTCTTAATGAATAGAATGATTTTTTCTAATGGTGTTTGTAAGTAGGATCACAAGTCTGCATCTTGTACAGCAATTAACCACTAAGAAGAATATATGCAGTGTATTATTTGTTGAAACTGTACTTTCGATTTGATTTGAAACTGTCTCATTGCTATATGTTTATCAATAAAACTTTGAAAAGAAAAAAAAATTAAAAGTAAAAAGGATAAGGAAAAAAATTAAGGTTTATTAAAAGCAAGTATTGGTTAATTATCTGACCAATCTTGCATACCTATATCTATTAATCTGAGCAACAGATCTGACAATAAAAATATATAATATAAAAAAAAAAATGTGTGCTTGGGTGGATTTGCGAATTGCTAAGGTCCAGGATCTGATACGCACTTCTCTCTCTTCCATTTCCATGGAAGTGTTTGCTCTAGCTGCCCGTCTTCACCACTGTGTGCCTGGTGGGGACGGGGGTGGATGGGGAGAGAGAACTCATCTTTCCCTCTCATTTCTCAGATCGGGGGTTCCTCCCCACCAAGCCTGATAAAGACCCCAAGGGGCTGGGCCATGAGGTGATACCAAGCCTAGACTCCAGGAATCTTGGGAAGAGGTGACTATGACTGATGATTTGAACTCATTAGACCCTTCTATGCCCCTAAACTATGTTCCACTAATTTGAAGACGTGCTACAGTGGGGCTGGCACCGCATGTGGTCCCTGTGCTTTCTTGCCAGCCCACTCTTTTTTGTGGAGACAGGTTCCTGCTACGTAGCTCAGGCTGGTCTTCAACTCACTGTGTGTGCCACCACACCTAGACTGCGCTCAGGACCTAGGAGGCGTTCTAAGGGCCATTTCTACTCAGTGGGGAACCCAGCTGCATGTTAGGAAGTCCAGGCCATCCGTGAGAAAAAGTCCATGTGGAGGTGAACCAAGGTCTCAGACGCAGGGCACCCAGCGTGCGGCGTAGAGACAATCTGTCCTTGCTGCATCCTCCTGAATTCCTCACCCACGGAACCAGGAACAATTGAAAGGCTGCCATATTAAAGAACTATATTAGGTGGTCTAATATGCAGCAACAGACAACAGAAACAACAGTGTGTGCACCCGTGCATGCACACTCTACCAAAGGCCCCAGTTCTGCTGAAGAACTGCACAGTTTCTACAACCAGGTGCAGCTGCAGACACTGCTAAGATTTACTTCATGGAAAATGTAACAAGGCCAGGCATGGAGGCGCACAACTGCAATCCCAGGGGTCAGGAGGCCGAGGCAGGAGGATCGCTGAATTTGAGGCCAGCCTGGGGTACAGAGTGAATTCAAGGCCAGCCTGAACTACAATGCAAGATGCTGTCTCGAAAAACAACAACAAC